TTTTCCAAATCTGTTTACAGAGCTGACACGGAGGCTTTTTTGAAGTCAGTTTACAAATAAAAGAACGCTGAACGTTGCTATTCTTTTCTACTTCATGCAGGTGTAAGCGATAACGTGTCTAACGATTCGCTAATCATTTGTCTAGAAGGGATATATTATACTAGGAGAGATAAATTAAAAAAGTTCTTTTTTTTTGTACTTTACGGCGTATTCCAAAAGATCGATTCCGTTTTTAAGTACAAAATCTTAGCTCCACTTATCTTAAGGAAACTCAACGTTGCCATTTTTCACTCGACATCTGGCGTGGAAAGCGAATATCGTCCCGGTATCTCGACGCCGCGTCCCGGGGGAGCTCGTTACACTCCTTTAATTACGAACAAACCTATCTGCCTCGATTAGAAACGTGGATTTGCTTGGCCACACTCACCACCTTGTCGTCTTAAGTATTATGCTCTTGTCTTATTTCACCAACGGTACTGGGATCGTTGTGGAGATAAGGGGTTGGTAACGGGTATCGTCGGGCAATCTTGGGTTCGCAAACAGGGGAGTGATATTGTTTAAATTATGGGTCCACGAGTCGGCGGCGGAGTCGGGGCGTCTCGGCAATTCGTGGTTTGTCAACGGGTTAATTTAAAGAGGTTTACTGTGCAGATAAGAGTGAGTTCATAAGTTTTTTTGTTTTCATAAGTTTTGATACGAATTTTAAAGGATTTAATATATTTATAGGTTACAAGCTTTTACTCGTGACTTCAACAGCGTGATGAAGATATGTTTATGGACCGGGATAAAAAGTAGCCTATACTATAATACGTGTTATATACCGAATTTATTAGTGATTAGTTAAGACTTTAAAGCGTTATGAGGTAACAGACAAACTTTTCTTCATATATGTAATATTAGTAAAAAAGTAAGGTCATGCTTCTTCACGCTTCGCGACTATAGGCCTACTTAATTGGAGCTTGCCCACTTTAGAATCATTTGGTGTCTTTACAAAGACATGTCTTAGAGTACATTTATTACTATTACTGTTACATATCAGGCTTTAACTGCCAAATGTTGAACATAGGCCTTCACCATAAAAGGTGTTTGGCCAGTAGTTGCTACGTTTGACAGGCGAGTTGGCAACTGCAGTTAGGCTTTGGCGATGTCTTCTGAAGAAATGTTTTGTAAGATAAAGAATGAAGAAGTGTTAATTTTTTACTTTGAATGGCAAAAAGTATGAGGAACTACCTGATGGAAAGTGGTAACTGTCGACTATAAACCAATATAATATACTCAGATAAATACATACAAACATATCATATCACATCATTCTTTAACTGTCCACTGCTGAACATAAGCCTCTCCCTTAGGGAGTTTAGCCAGTAGTCGCCATGCTTGGCAGGTGGATTAACAACCGCAGTCAGACTTTCGAGATGTTTTTAGAGGGACGCTGTCGCCCATCCCTCACCCTCCCTTAGTCGGTTCTTACGACATCTACGGGATAGGAAGGGGTGGCCTATTCTATGCCGGGACTATACGGCCAAGACATATACATGAACGCAAATGTTCAATCTAATCGAACCAGCTACCGTCGAAATGTGAGGCAGTGCTAAACCGCTACACCGTTACACCACAGAGGCCGTCAAACCTTTGATTATCTACATCTAAGCATATGCCCCAATAACGGTAGATGTACAGAGCTTTATCGCTGGGATTTTGTTCGGGTTCGGACACAGTAATCCGGGGTCCTTTAGACCCGGTAATAAATCAGCGCACTCCCCGATTCCCCCGGTTATGTTTATTTAATTTGTACCCGCTAATCTCTATAGCTGGTGCTATTTGTTGAAGTAATCGTATTATTTATCTCTCTGTATATTATTATCCTATATATTTTCAAAATTTTATTCTTTATTTTTTACACGTAGTCAGCGAGTTGTTTTATATTTTAGCGTTTTAGTATTGTTTTAATAGTTGTCATTGTTAACTCTAATAAAATTGCATATCATTCATGTCGTGTTAACACATTTTAGGGTATCAATCTTGTTCAATATCTTGTATATATATAATTAACTATGTACATTTTTTATAATTATCGGTTGTGTTTTCCAAATAAAATAAAATAAAGTTGCATATGTAGGACTGGCTGAAAACCAGCGCTGTGCAGCTGTACACATTGCAATGCGACACTCATCAGCTGAGCCAGCTCCTTTTGCCTAATACGAGATACTTCTTATATATGTATTTTCTCTTATAATTGTGTTTTTCTGGCAATAAATATTTTCTATTCTATTCTATATTCGAAATTTAAATACAATTAATAATTACGAAATCTACCTATTATTTATGGGAAAGCAATAATTTATTTATTTACTTTTTATTGCACTGCTTAAAGAATAATGTAAATCGAAAAAAGAGATTGCTAGGATTGGTTAAACCGGTCTGGCGTTATAGTGTTTTTTTATACAACTTAGAATGGCAAACGAGCTGACGGTCCACCTGATGGAAAGTGGTAACCGTCGCTTATAGACATGAGCAGTACAGAGTAACAAAAAAATTCATTTTTACATTTATAATATATAAGTAAGGATTCGCAGGTTTCAGGTAAATAGGAAGATGAAGGCAGGTCATTGTTTCCAGGTGGGGTCTCATGGAAGTCAACTAACGGGGTATATGGCGAACAAAGCGTTACAAACAATCTCCTCTTCTGTATGCAAGAAGTGAATGATGCGACAGATATGTAAGGATTCTTGGCATTGAATTATCTTTCTCGCAAGATACCTAGTGTGAAGATAGATAATTTAATAACCTACAAATGCTTATGGATTAGGATTCCACCTAAACTAGCTTAGCGGTTCACTGGACCTTATAAATCTCTTACAATCAATTAAGGCAAACTTTTGTTCAAGAGTAATCGAGTAGGGTGTCCAACCCGCAATAAATAGTGGGCCACCAATCGCCAGTGTTGTGGGATTACAACCAATTGGAGCTTGTAATCCTCGATTGACACCGGATTAGGGGACAATCTAGCCGTTCTAATTTACGGACACTAAAGTTGGTCAATTCGGGTAATTTTGGACATCTGGTATGTATTGAACATTGTAAATGACTTCCTCACGACTGACATATTGATAAGTTTCGGGATAAAGGATAAAAGGATGTATCCAGAAAAGTGTAGTTTATTTTAAGCGTTTTCCAAAATGGAAGTTATCAAGTAGAATTCATTTCTCTTGTGGATGTCACGCGATATCTTTGGTAAATGTGAACAGATCTGTATTCAAAGGGTTTAGATTTAGAATGGTCTTGATTATTCATTTATTTAGTTGAAAATACTAAACTGTAGATAGAATATTACTTGTGAAAATATGATTATATATTATATGAATAGATAGAATAGTACTATGTGAAATAATAAAAAATGGGTATTTAGATAAAAATGTGTCTTTAGTAATTGAAACATAAATACACCTGAATAATAATTTTAAATAAATAAAAACAGCCGCTTCAATTGTCACAAAATGGAACAATATAGGATAAAATCTTGTTGATCTATTTATGTTTGCGACTGAAGGACTGTTATTCATGGCCATGAATAATTGTGTCGGTTAATTCAATAAAAGAACATCAAAATCGGCTCAGAATAACGACGTAATGGTGTAACAAGACAAATAATTAAAAATCTTCTTTTTGGATGTCGTTTAAAAGAACTCAGCGCTTATTACTCATGTCAGATACAATAACGAATACAAATTGCACTATCATTTTGTATTGACGCCACCTGTTGTATTCCACCTACGTCTAAACATAAATAAAACAGGACCGGCGGTCCACTCAATTTGCTAAGTGGCAATGGACCGCTGTAATGACAGATTAGTGTTTGTGCCTCCGCCACCTGAGCTGGTCGGTTGAAATATGCAATAACTCAAGCGGCCCACCCGGGCATAATTCACCCGGATCGTGGCCAATAAATTCGTCAGCGTGATTAGTACAACGGAGGGGACGAGTGTAGAATACATTGTTTGGTGTCTAAATATTATTGGTTGAAATATGTACGTGTATAGAAAAGTTATTAATATATAAAATTCACATTCCAATTATTATTGAGTGAAGGAAAAAATTTCGGATGGATTTCGAACCCCGGTATAGAATCGATTGTGCATCTATTCTATACTACCATATATCTATATTCTTCGAACACTCAGGTTATGGAATGAGCTCCCTGATGAGGTTTTCTTAAGAGATTACAGCATGGGGTTCTTCAAAAGGGGTACTCCCCTTTTGAAGAACCCCATGCTAGAGTTTTTTTCAGGGTCGGCAACGTAATACCTCTGGTATTGCAGGTGTTCATAGGTGACGGTAACCACTTACCATCAGGTGGGCCGTATGTTTGTTTGCCACCTCAGTGGTATAAAAAATACTATATTGTGGCAAGGCCAGTGCTCTTATTAGGTATGCTATTTTTTTATCTTTAGCCAGATGCAATTATTAATATTTACTCAATAGCCTTTTTTTCTAAATTATCTTTCTTATTACACACTTATTCACACACTTGTATCGGTTTTCACTATATTTTGCCATGTAACCACTACACGAACGACAAAGAAAAAGTTTTTTTTTTTTATCTTAGAGAGGCAAACGAGCAGACGGTCCATCTAATGGAAAGCCTGTGCGCCCTTGTCTACGTCTGAATTTGTTTAACTCTTATTGCTACTTTGGTATAGTATATATATATTTGGTATTGAATTTTATATTTGTATACTGCTATATGGTCTATATACATACGTTGTAGAATAAAGATGACACCTGCGGTTCGGTTGAAAACTCTCAAAAAATTGCCCAAAATTTTCCACGTCCGTTCAATTTTGTCGTTTTAAAATAACACGAGAAAAAAGAGTTTCAAACTTGTAAGAGTGTAAGATGGGTAAATTATATAAAAGCTTACAATAACATTCAGTAGTAACTATATAAAATACGTATATTAATATCGATATAAAATAAATTAATATAGTACCTAACTAAAACTACAATGTTTCGTTTAATCTGTTATGTGATGAAGTTTTAGTACATGTAACAACATTATCATCTACAGGGCGCTTTTTTAATTGTGGTATCATACTTCTTTGTTTTGTAGATGCCGTAGACTTCTCCTGTAATATCTTATAACTTAATCGAACTACGTTATCGTTAACAGTCTTTTTAGGAATCCTGCTTGCTTTGGTATTTTTCGACAGGCACGCTCCACCTATACCTACACTCATTTCTGTATGAGGTCTATCTATTTTTATTTCTAAAAAAGGGTTGCCAGAACTTAATTTTAATCCTTGGAGTTTATTAGAATGTCTACTCTTTTTAGGTAAATTAGGTTTTGTGCATTTCTCAATTTTAGTGCTTGTTTCTTTTTCATTACGAATTGGCATTGTTTCTAACGATATATTTACATGTGATATCTGTTTTCCTTGACTTTGTGTTTCATTAACATTATTTTTACATTTCTTTTCATTTATATAAGATAAGCATGGTTGTTTAGTTAAATCTTTATCTTGTTTTTCCTGAATTTGGTTACATTCTGCAAAGCTTTTTACTTGGTGGCATTCAATAGGCAGTGCATTTGATTGAGGAATACACAATAGAGTTTGCTTTGATGTTTTCATATTTTTGACTAGTGTGAAAGTTTTACGAGGTTCAAGTTCTTGTACTGTGATTAAACTGTCATTTGTTATACTATTATCAGGTGTACAGTTACAGTCACATAATATCTCATCTGCCGATTTGTAGCGACTTGATTGGTTTGATTTTGACTGGTCGAGTTTAGTGTAATTTGATTTAGAGCCACTTATTTTCGGAAAATTTAATTGAGACTGATCAGAAGACTGAATTATGTTTTGACGTGTAAATATACTTTTTAGTGACGACTTTGTGGTACCTACTTTGGTTTCCTTAACTACAGTTACGATATCAGCGGAGCAAATCTTTGAAGAAACACGTGGACAAGTTATTGTACCGACTGAATATTTCGATAGAGTACTTTCAGGAAATAGGTTTTTATCTTGTATGGGTCGCAGATGAGATTTTTGCTCAATCTTAAATCCTTTACAGTCCGGATACGTATCGCTTGTATAATGACGAATTGTATCCTGTCTGGGTTTTCGATTGTGGTAAACATTTCCTTTGTTAGTATCATTTAATTTACTATAGCATGTATCACTAAATATCTCTTTTTTATTATCATGTGAATCAAGAAACAGAAAAACATTGCTTAAAGAGCTTTTCTTCTTTTTCTTAGAACATATTGTTAGATACAATAGAGCTGGTATAAACCATGCAATTTCAAGAAATAATATTATAATAACAATAATAATTTTCTTTGAGGTGAAATTGATTGGTATATAAGACAGAAAGGGCTTGTTATCTGATTTGATTGTTTCACATAAATTTTGTGAGTTGTTCATTAATGTTAATACACTGTTTAAAGCAAGATAGAGTTCGTCATCATTTAGATGTGGTACGACATCTTCAGAGAGCCACGATTGCAGTCTATGTTCAAAATCGTATTCATCTGCTGTATCAATTTCACGTAGACAACGTCTTGCCAAGTCGTAATATTGAAATAAAACATTTGAAGAATCTGGAGATTGGAGAGATATTAAAGACTGGTTTTTAAAAGGAACAAACATGGTTTGCGTATTTTTGTCCCAATTAATATAAGGAATAGGCACTCTCAGACCTGATTTTGTTTTCTCTAAGTATGCAATTTTTTGGCATGCATCATTTACATTTCGTGTTTTGGAATGATATTGGGGTATTACAATATCAATAGAACTCAGTATGTTGCAATCAGGATTATTCCATCCTTTACCATCAGTCTCCATATATGATTTGATTTGATCGTAAAAATGGAAGAGTTTAAGAGCATTATTCTGGGATATTATGCCCGCGTAATAACCATATTTGGTGATGGGTAAAATCCATGCTTTTAAATACCCTCCAAAGGCGTCTGAAAGTGCTGTAGTCATAATGCTATCTGATATTGGATCAACGGCTTCTCTCTTAACAGTTGTGTAGGCCTCCTTAATGTAATTTAATAGCGTATTTATATAGTTATCGATAGAAGTATTAATATTAGGTGGTGGTAGTAATTTTTGGAAATATCGCCTTGCTCGAAGTAAACTTACCTCTGTTTTGCTCCATTGGGATCTTTTTGTGTCTAAAGGAGAAAACAATACGGTTCCAACATGTAATGAAGAATCTTTTTGGCAAGTTATACTTTTAAGCATCATCACTAGTAGAAGAACATACGCTTTCATGTTAGGATAAGAATGTAAAGCGATTACAAAATAAATGTATACAAAATACACACGACACAAAATACCATTTGACATTTTTTGTACTGACAATTAGGTCTATTATCTAAATGTCGATATTTTTATAAGCAATAGAAAAAAGTTTAGTACTGATATCACTTTTGTACAGTTTCACCGAGTAATGTATAATTTACATGTGCGTAATATTTATTATAGTAATTAGGTACTTATCTGTATTTATTGTATTTTTTTTACAATCATGTTTCAATGGCTGAACCGATTTGAATGTGGTATACATCTAGGTTAAACATAAGTTACATATAGAATACTTTAAATACTGATTCGCCTGAGTAATGCCGTGGGAACAGTTAGTATAATTGTATAGAATAAAAGTAAAAATCAATATACTTTGCTTTTTTTTATGTTCACTGTATTGACGTAGTTAAAAACTAAATTTAATTAAAAAATGTTACCAGTCAGTCATCAAAGCATCGCCTTTGGTCCTTTTGAAGGTATATTCTCCTGTGTCACTGATTGTATAATGCATAGTGTATTAGCTTAGACAAATCCGTACGTTTTGAAACACATGGTCACCCCATATTAATAGAAGGTTACAGACACAACCGCGGCGTTAAATTGTTTAATTAAAACGAGCAGCTCCAAATTAAGGGATTACGCCCTTCGTATCTCACGTGCGTAACATATTACACGTAACATTTGTGAAATGTACTTGTAATAATTCTAAAGTAGCAGGTGAGACAGGTTTTAAGGATGTTATTTGTAACGTCAAGTGTACCATTCAATTCTATTTTGGAGTGTTTCATCTATTTTGTCTCTTTCTAATTATATTTTTTAATTGATGGATAGGGAATGATTGTTAACAATATACCTTGTTAGGTAAATTTCCACGTCGTCTCCTCTAGATTAGTATCAATCGTAGTTAATGCTTGATGAATTAACACGATGGGCCAACGGACCTGCTTTTGCCCTCACCTATCATCTCTTATTGGTGCGTCAGCGTATACCAATAGCGCAAACGGAGCTACCATTCCTTTATCATCCATTAAAAAGATCATTATGAACTTTACAGAACGGAGACCAGACAACGCTATTGTACTCTAAAATACTTCTGACAAGTGCAAAGTACAACAATTTAAAACTCTGATAATTCTTAAATTCCTTAGTACATCGAGTGATAAAACCTAATAATGTGTTGCTCCTGTTAACTACAGCATGTCTATTATCGTGTTACCCATATCGTATCAATTATTAACACGACTATGTATTTTTCTATTAATTAAACAATTGTAACATCAAGTCGTTAAGGGTAGGACACACTGAAGACGGCGTGGCGTGACTACGCGACGATTTGTCATGCTCGCGTGTCACCAGGGCCCTGTTAATTGGCGTAGTTGTTACAATGACAAATTACTCGGCTACTAAATACCACAATGCTCTGTACAAATTAACGGACGCACTAAATGTCACCTTAGTTTTAATAAAGCTACGATTTCAATTATTCCATTGTTATTTTTTTAATTGGTTGAATGAAATACCAATTTGAAATGACTTAATATGATCACAGAATGTAAAAGGTATAATGGAAAGGATTCTGTTAAGCTTTTATTTATGTTACTTTTAAAAATAGAATTTATTTGTTTTCTTTTTCTGTCAATTAACATTTTGTTATTAGAGAACGTCATTTTTTTAATATTATTATTATTGTACTATAATATATTTTTATTCAGTATTTTCTATTCATCGAATAGAAAACAAGTGATAAATTATTGAAATAGAAAGGTAAGCATCAAAAAGCAGTGGAAAGATTCAATGAATCTCATCTCTATTCTAAGGTGATAAATTTGGTATTTAAGGTTACACATATATTTTCTATATATTGTCTATAGGCGACGGTTACCACTTTTCATCAGGTGAGTCGTCAGCTTTTTTCCCATTCTAAGTTGTATAAAAAAATATTATAGGTACTATTCTTACGGCGAACTGTAATATAGAGTGTAGTTTCTTTTTCTAGAAAACCTGCAAGTGATGGAGTGAAATGATAGAATAGGTAGAATAGGCAGTTACTGTATACAAATATATATTTGAAATTCTAGGATGGCTTTAAGTTTCTTACATTGGTTTTAAGTGCTTTATTTTTTTCTAGCTGCTTTTTGTATCTATACTTTGGAGGTAAAATGGAATATAACATATTGCAATTCCTAGTGCAAAGTGATTAAATACATTATTTCTAATGAGAATAAGAATAATTTTTATGCAAGTGAATTCAATTTTATGGTTATTTATTATGATTTTACTGTTCAATTCGAAATACAATTGCAGCTGAGAGAAGTAGGCAAGAAATTCAGCGGTTGCTTTTTAAAAAGAAAATTACAAATAAAGATGTAAAAGTTGAAGACGTAATAGCTAAAATGTTTTTACTATATACTTGATATATTTGTAACATTAATTTGAAAATTAAATATGTTGATTACTCCGAGATGGCAACACTAACACTAAAGGTGTATTATAATACGCTAAACATCATTAGCGGCACTAATCCAAGGCTATCAGCAATCAAACTGCGCGTAATCCACGATAACCCTTTCGCGTGTAATACGTTACGTCCCTTAATGACGGATGTAACACAATACGCTTGTGTGTAAATCGCCTAAGGGTGTTGTGATTTGATTATACTGATCATTTTGGTAGGTATGTATTATAATTGGAGCGTTTTGATTATGAGGGTAAATATTAACAATTGATTAAGGTTATAGATACAAGGTGTAACATAATGAATCCAGTGATATTATCTAAGTATACTATTTATACATCCATTTGTGATTTATTTTATGTAATCTATTTTTTACTAAGTATATAGTCTATTGTAATTTTTAATAATCTGTAATCTTCTCCGCATCCAAATTTACTTGTGTCTAAATATTTATATTGTATTTATTTTAATTTTATACTTCAATCTATTAAGAGCCACGTGCGCCATTTTAAAACTAATCAAAAAAATGCACTGTACAGAAGGCAATAAGTCAAGCAGGCCTGCGCAATAATTTACGCACTTGAGATTGTCCTTAATTGGGGGTGCAACAAAGATTTCTCTGTAAGTGATGTTCTAGAAGATTATGGAAGTAAATTCTAATAATAGTGTGTATAATTTGGCTTGTTACAGTAGGTATGTTTTATTGGCATTTTACTTTTATATGGTTTTATAAAAAGAAGAAGTTATTGTCAGTCACTCTGGCTAGCCGGTTTTAAATATTCTGATGTATTATATTAATTATGTGATATATAAAATATTATATTTTGTCCCATGTATCTAATGTAAAATGTTTTTATTGTTTACACATACATGATTAATTTTTAAATATTATTTTTAGTCGAATATATTCATAAAAAGTAAATGAGTAAACTGTTTATTTTTTTATTTTTTATTGGACAATAGCACTTTGTACAAGTGGCGAGCTTAATGCTAGATGGCATTCTCTACCACCTAATCATTAGGTAAAAACAGAAAGTGTATGAAAGGCAGAGTTGGTGAAAAATATGTGATATAATTATTGTAATAAATCGAAATATTTATACATAATGCATAAGAAATACACATGTAATATATAAATATTATTTTTAATATATATAAAATATTATAACAACAATAAGCATTATGAGATATAGTAACTATTGAGTAACTTATAGCTAGAGTTGATTCAACTAATTATTGAAAATTCTTCTTTTAAAAATAGGCTTACTGGGTGCTCTGTGTAGATCCAAAGGATTTTTTTATACCAAAGGCTGACAGCGTCACTGCTGTAAAAGAATTGGATATAAATCCAGAATTGACTGATGGGGTTACAAGGAGAAGATTGTGAGATGACCGAAGATAAGCGGGTTTACTGAAATATTAAATATATGATCAGATGGACCATACCTGTGTACCTAGTTTATATCCATTTAGCGGTAATACGAGTAGTAAATAAGATACATACAAACAAATACAAATATCTTTATATACTACTACATTTACAATAATTATATGGGAATAATAATAGAACAGTCACAGACTAAATAATATCTAAATAATCTTAATGTTATGGAATCAAAAAACAATGTTAGGTTATGTATCAAGTTTACAGTTTCAAGAGAAGCAGTAAAATAGGTAGATAATTGTACTGACTAGAAAGATGTAGATCATAATTAGGTGTTAGAAACAGAAACGATAGAGAGTACCTAAAGTTCACGGAATTCCCGCCAAAATAATAATAATATTATATATATATATATATATATATATATATATATATATATATATATATATATATATATAAAATTGAGGCTTAGATATTGAGGATTAGATATCTGCCAAGCCGCAAATGTTTATTTTTTTACATTAATACTTTTCGGTATCATTACTTTTCTAGTTATTTCTTATTTTAGCTAGTTTTCGAGCTGTCAATGATTGTCATAGCGGTGTCGAAACGCCGGTAGGGATGCAGGGGACAAAGTGCATGTTCCCGCGGGAAATCTACAGTTATTAACTGTCAATCATGCTGCGACGCGGTGACGCCCCTTGCTTACTTGATTGCACTGAGATTTATATATTCAGTCGTCAAATTTTTTAACGTCAAATTCGGATGTTTGGTTCCTTTATTCTTGCTTATGCGAAATTGTTTAAATCTCTAAATTTAATGATCTAGTCATAGTTTGGATCAGCTAATAATGTATTGGCCACTCGCTTCGTGTCTTGGAGAGCATGTATAACTACTTCAAAAGCATTAGTGTATAATAAAGGTGGCCTAAATGCTCTTGCCACTAGAGGGCGCCTCTCTATGACCAGTAGTAACAGTACGTCCTTAAATCTGAAATGTGAATATGTAATATCTATATTCCAACTGCACCTATAAGTCGGAATTTATAAAAAAGAATCATCGTGATCGGTTCCTTTGTGGAAAGAATGCGCGAGTAACAAATATACAAATTAAAAACTTCCTTTTTGA